GTTATGCCGTAACACACATAAAAAATAAAAATAAAAAAAAAAAATATACCGTCGAATTGAATACCTCCTTCTTTTGGGAAGTCGGTCAAAAAGGGGTCTACAAAAGCATCCGTTCATACTTTGAATGTTTTCCATTTCAAGGTTTTCCAATTTTATAAGGTGGTGTTTTTCATTTATACAATAAAACAATTACGTACTCGTTAAGGGTCGCTAAACGTCTATTTAGGTGTTTATCTAAAGACAACCAGTAAGTATTTAATAATAGAAAAAAATGGATGATTTTATGATGTCATAGACTCTGATGCTTATCGAATGGGAACTGAATTAGAAAAACATTGTTAAAAGACACTGATAAAAGATAACCAAAGAATAAAAGAGAACATATTTTTAAAGATGTCAAGATATTCCTTGCCTATTTTGAATCATAAAAACAGTATTTAAGTTAGTCTATTTATGTCTGTTTTGGAGTTCTTTGAACCCAGAACGTGACGGTATAAGTGTTTTGTTATGGGAATTAGAATTATTAAAAAAGGCGATAAATATGTACTTGAAACGTGAACGTTGTGGAAATTGTTTGAAAGAAATTCCTTGGCCCAAATCACACATTTACATTGAATAATAGTATTTTAAGATTTCTAACTAAATAATGCAACAGCGGCCCGTGTGTGCCGAACCTCAACTGTTAATCGTCCTTTAATATAATCTACAGACGAGTGCCGATAGTAAAAAGTTAATAAAACTCTGACTGTTGTCTTTTAACTTTTGATTTTTACTGTCAATTTACACAGAACTCAAAATATTCGTCCCTTGAGTCGACAGTCAAGTTGCTATTATGGTCAGCTTTATGTACATTACGAAATAATACAAATTTTATTACTTGTAATTTAGTAAGCAAGATTCAAAAATGAGTTTATGATTTAAAATTTATGATCGAGATAATTAGACTGTTTTGAAACATTATTATGCGTTTAAACTTGATCTAATCTATAAATCTCATTTAATTATCTTAAAACATGATTTCTCAT